GCCCTGCACGGAAGCAAGAGCATAGAGACTAATGTAGGTTTTTAAATACTGTCCGATCAAAGGTGCATGTATATGACTGAAGGACCCTGTCATATACTGATGGTAGGCTGAATTTTAAATTTTTATATATATATATATATATATATATATATATATATATATATATATATACTTTATTTAGAAAAATACATTTCCTTTCAAAACTTGATGAAAGGATTTTTAATATTGAAAATAGGTTTGAGGTTACCGTTGTCCATACCTGTAGAGCTATGAAATATGGACAGTGAGAATGGAACTTTAAAAACTAGAGGGCAATGAATATCTCAATGTGTTAAGTAGAATTACTTTACCAATCCTTATGTTTCAGCTACTGAGCTAATCAGTTTTGATTGACATAATTAGTATTCTGCATGGAAAATCTATAGCAATCCAGAAGATCTAAGTCAACATTTAATTGCTTTCAGCTAAACTAACCATACAATAGCTGCAAGTTACTACTAAGTTCAGATGATTTTACCAGGCTTGACATTGAACTAATGTAAAATAATCCTATTTGACAAAGGATTGTGTTGTCATATCAGGGGAGAATGGAAACTGAATTTGTGAGTTTAGAATTGTCATATGTTGATTTTAATTGACACCAATGCCCAAAACAAATTATGTTTAACAGCATTGCTGCTATTTAGTGGAAAAAAGTTTTTTTTTTTTAAAAAGCCAACATACACTAAGGTAAAAATAACGCAATATGTGTTTAGTATTGAGTGACTAGTAAAACTGGGACACCACTATTAGAACAGAACAGCATTAAACAGTCTATCCTCTGTCCATGGTACTGACAGACGTGATAAGGAATGCAATGCTGATCCAAAATGTAGGCCCCAGAATTCAACGAGACCTAGTCTAACTCCCCCTTTGCATAGTATATCCTCTTAATTGGGGGCATACAAGTTTGTCTAGTTAGATACATGTGAGTGTAACTTGCAACTAGTTAGTTAAAAGCAAGTGTTTTGAATTAGATGTTTGAATGTGATTAGGCAAGCATATAGTGTGGTTTGTTATGCGTGTGTGTTGATGTGGATAATTAGGGGTGTCTGGGAATGTAGCTGCATAAGTATTTATATCAATTGGAGGCTAGTAATATGTGCAATTGTGTATGACAGAGTGACTAATTAGATAGATATTTGTGTATAATTATATATATGTGTATTTTGAGGGTGCGTGCTAAATAAGCATACAGGCATAAAGAAACATTCGTTGTTCCAAACTGACAGTCTATATGACTTTCTCAAACGTGTTGCATTTCCTATGTTGAGTACACAATGTTTCAAAACTAGGTAATAGTAGGTTTAGCAGCTTTCCTGAGAGTTCTGAGTCAGACTTGCTATCTGTGCCGCTGATATAAAGGGAATCTATAGTGCAAGGGAAGTTGTTTAGCTCCCTATAGTGTTCCCACACTGTGAAAGCCAAAATGTTGGTAGTAGAGGTTGTTGGATGTGTTTCACATTCTGTTGGGCTTATGGTTGCAAATTCTTTTATGGAGATTTTGTAAGCCTGGTCATTGTTTCTATGTATGTCATCACAACGGGGAAGAAATGTGATCTAAGAAATTTTGACTGTGGAACGATTTTTGATGCCTGAGGCTGTTATTTTGTAACATAAAAATTTCTGATCCACGGGGATTTTTTTCACACACAACAATCTGTAGAATCTGAAGTGCAAAAAAACATCCACTGAGTGATAGTTATGTGAACAATATTCCTTGTTAATGACAGATGTCAATAAAAAATGTGCATACTGGTTTAAACTGCAGGTAGGTAACAGTTACTGATACAACCACATGTTACAACAGTCCTATGCATAATAGCATCTCTGTATGAGAATACAAACAATATCAGTGGCTGAGTTACAGTTGTAGAAGATCACACTGCGTTAAATTCCTTTTAGCTAAGAACAGGGAACTGAGGCTCCACTGAAACTGGAGAGCTAAAGATTGGAAAGCCATCACCTGGTCTGACTCCACAATCACGAGATCTCAGTCCAGTAGATCATGGGATGTAGTGGAAGGGGATTTTCACAGCATTATTAGGCCACCAACTAATCAGCTGCAACTGCATAATGTTGTCTTGTAAACATGGAACATAATATTTCACCACTTAAGGACCAAGGCTATTTTGAGATGTGATGTGTTTGTGACCAAGGCCTTTTTGGCACTTCATTCTACCACATCTTCACCATTTCTGTTTAAGTGCACTCGTACATCTCATATATTATTTTTAAAGGAGAAACAGATCTTTCTTTTGCTACTCTATATGTATACATAGTGTAATTTAAATAGAAATAAAATAATACAAACTCAAGTGGTAAAAAAATAAATTAATAAACTCACATTTTAAATTTAATAATTTCTACACACCAAGTGCAACTAATGAAAACTAACTCAAATAGATCCACTTCAGTTAATTGTATAAATTATAAAAAAAAAACGATCCAAGGAATGAATTACAGATTTACATAAACTTTGCATAATTTAGCATGCTAAGATTACAACTTTTATAGTAGTCACCAAATCCAAAAACAAAAGTATATATTTTAGAAAGTTTATCTCCCAGGCTATTTGGACACTTCTCATTTAACTATTTAATCATGAACCTATGTAAAAATATTAGTTTAAAAATTTTTTTACACGTTTTATTTTTGGGAAAATTTATAGACCATACGTGTTCTATTACTGCAAACACCACATATTTGTATTCTTCTACCCTTCTTGATTACAATGATATTCCACATGTATACCCTTTCCACTAATTTTGCCCTTAAAACCAACCCTTAATCCTACCCTTAAACCAACCTTTAATCCTATCCATAATCCTATCTATAATCGAACCCTTAACCCTACCCATAATCCTATCTATAATCAAACCCTTAATCCTTCCCATAATCCTATCTATAATCAAACCCTTAATCCTTCCCATAATCCTATCTATTATTGAACCCCAATTTCCTACCCATAATCCAACCCTACTCCTGTTCCTAAAACATCCCCTAATACAACCTAAACCAATCACGTAGGAATTCCCTCTGCTGATGACAGTACTGATATCAGCAGAGGAATTTCCCAGCTCATAGAGTACAGAGGGCTCTGTGAGCTCTCTGAACTGTGTCATTGCAGCTACTACACACAGGGATCAGTGCTGGGAAGCTTACAAAGTCTAGCACCGATCAAGGAGCAGAGGGCCAGCAGAGAAATATCACCAGGGTATTTTCAGATCTTGGTGGGGAAGGGGGGTGCAATGACATATTTAGAATTAGAACAGATGTGAGCTCAGCTGCTGTTTTTTTAAATTAATTTAAAGTTCTATGCACTACACACACATTCTCACATTGAGCACTACACTTAGCTCATCTGTCAGTCTGAGGCCACTAACTGTGGCCCCAACTAACTGAGGGAACTCTAAGGTATTGAACGATATCTGGTGCTCATTGTTTTTTTTGTTTTTTTATTCTTTAATTTTGCAGTACATTGCATAAGCCATACTTTGAGCAGTAATTTTTAGGTAGAGAGATAACAATGCATAACATGGTATGGGTGGAAAACAATGGAAAATGGCACCGATGTTTATAATTTTACACAACAAGTTAAGGTGGATTTAGGTATTTCCGTAGGAGACCTAACATGTTGTGGGTGTTTAGGTGTGTAGTACACCTACTTGGTCCTAAGAGCCAATGTCACGTGATGCCGAAGTATAGTATGGAGCTTACGTCGCTAAAGTTTCGGCATACGTGCGTGTAGGGAAGTTTGAATTGAGGATGCAGTGAGTACATGGAGGTGTTTAATCCGATTTGTGTGCTGTAAGATGTGCCTCCGTTTATTGGGTGTAGCCTACCATTAGTATGGTTACTCAAGCTTGTGGTTATACTCTATGCCTTGAGTGTAGGTACTCCTGGCCAGGGGAGTTGCAGGTGGGGTAAGAGGGTGTATAAGTTGCCGTTCTGTACATTTGGTGGAACTATCTGTTCCGGGTATGACTATGTGTATCTTTGTGTGTGTGTATCCAAACTGGGATCATATAAGTTGAGCTGCGAATGTTGTGTCATACAGTAGAACATATTAACAAATGAAAACTGAGCGTAAGATAGAACAAGACAAAGTAATTAAAGAGAAAAAGAAAATAATACAAAAAAGTTGAAAAAGAACATATTTGCAGTCATTAGACTTTCTGAGGCGATGTCTGGATCTGGAATAGGCTTCCAATAGGGGTTCATGTGCCTTGTGTCGAACCAGTCCCCATAAGCTGTGTTGGTTCCATAGTCTGGAAGCTCCTGGTCCTTGGAATGAAGGGAACAGCGTGTTCAGGATTCCAAGAGTCAAAGGTTGGCCTCAGGGGTGGGTTGGCAGTCAGAGACGTCAGTCCCAGTGTCTCCAGGAATGTGGGTGCGTCGAATGTCGAGGTGAGTGTGTGCAGGGTTCCGGTTCGGTTCACCACTAGGGATCCATTTGTCCCCCATCTGTAGGTGATGCCTGTCTTTCTTAGGCAACTTGTTATAGAGCTAAAGGTTTTGCACCATAGGAGGGTGGCTTTCATTAGGTCTTGGAAGAACATTAAAAGGCCAGAGGTGCTTTATCTTTAAGAGCCGACATGATCTGTATCTTATCGTGGACCGTTAGGCATCTGAGTATAACATCTTGGGCCACATTTGAAGGTGCCTTTGTGGAGCTATATATCCCTCAACAGCCAGTTTCTTTGCTGTGATGTGGAGCAGAATTGTGGCCTGTAGGCGTCTGATGTAGTGCGGCAGTTCATCCAGTGATATTTCCACGGAGATGCCCCTTATTTTTATGTTTGTGCGTCATTGACGTTCTTCTGTGGCTGTCATCTGTGCAGGCATTGCTCTTTTGTGTGTGCAGAGTTGCTGCACCGAGTTTTGGAGCACGGACAGGTGAGTCTGTAGGTCAGTAATGCCTTTTGTGGAAGTCTGACAGCAAGACTTTCGGGTAGTGCCTGGTGGTTGGTGTCATGTCGGTAAAGATTTCAGGCTGCAGTGGATGCTCTGCTCGAGTGTCTAGTGAAGTCTTCGGGTCCATATGCTCAGGTGGGTGAGCATGGGTAGTGGAGCATGGGGATTCCGCAGGAGCAGTTTTGGGTTGTGTGGGCCTCTGTAGCATGGCCCCGATGTCGCTGCTGCCTGCTGCTGTTTGCGGTTTCTGTGAGCAGCAACCCATAGCTGGCATGTGGGCAGGTGGGAAAGATTGTTCCCCTGCTCCTCTTGCCGCGGTGCTGCTAAAAAGTACCTCCAGGCCTGGAAGTGTTAGCGTGTGCAGTAGGCCCCGGTTTTCCGTCGCTGTTTGGGAGCCGCAAAGAATGGCATCTATTGCTTTAGGGTGTGCTGAATAGTCAAGCTGGCAACTTTTTAGAGCCTGATGGGCTATTATTTTGAGATTTTTGGTGGATTATGGCTTTTACAGAGGAGCATGCAAGAATATTTTTCCCTGTATTTTGGGAGACAGCTAGCAGCTTAGGGCAAGTGAGGACATATAAGTGGGGCATTTTTCTGTTCCTGGCAACAAACAGCTTTTGGTTATGTGCCTAACACTTATATCACCCATTTTTTGTTGTCAATAATATACATTTTTTGCATGTTGTTGCAGCTGTCCCATTTCAAGTAGGGATACTATCACTACCAGGTTATACCTTTATTTAAACTTTATCCCCCTCCTCCTTTTTCCTCTCTACTTTGATACTAAATCCTGGATAAGGCTCACTCTGTACAGATATTACTTTCTTTCTGTTTTTTCCTTTATAATAGCGCTCCTTATACCAGGTAATTTATACAACTTACATTAGGGTGATACTCTAGTTAGCAATTGTGAATATTTATTCCACTCACTAATATCCCCTACGGGAACTCTTTCTGGCCAACTTTTTAGCCAGTTATGTATAATTTTAATATATATGTCATTTTTCATTAAAGGTTTTGGAACCCGTTACATATAGTACACTTACTTTTTGGGAGGTATAGATCTATGAATGAATAGGTTTTCCACCTCTGTCTTTGACTTCGGTGGTCTTCCAGTTCATTTTTTCTCCTTTTTCTCAAGAATGGCATATGTTCAGTGTTGGCTCCTTGGATGAACTCTGCTTCTTAGGGCGGGATACGCACAATCCATACCACCTCCATGTTTCCATACCATCTCCATATTTTCATATCACCTCCATATTTACCCTGTCTTTTAATTGCTGGATTAATATCTGAATATTGACTTTGACTTTGGTTGTAAAGCGGAGCCTAAAGTTCCTCTGTACTTAACGTTATTCTTATTTCAGTCACGATTCCTAAATAAAAATTGCATTTTAAAACAGAAAGAAAGAAAAAACAGTCTGCATCACAGGGCAATCCGTACAAATGTTTCTTATTTTTCTTTCAGTCAGTCAATGAGATATTATGGATACCTTTAATACCTTGGCTACAGTGCATTACAAAGACTGACAGATCATTAAAGAAGGTGTTTGTCAGAAGCTGGAGTACTCATTCTAAATAAAGTTACCTTTGATTAATGCTTTAATATATCTACAGTCAGTTTAGCAAACGGTATACCTTAAATGTTTCTGAAAGCTGTGCGTTAAGAAAACTAAACTTGTAGGTTGTATTCCCCTGTCTCAGGCTTCAGTTAGGATTACTGAGCTCTGCTGTCAAGCCATTACTGGAATATGGCATTATATAAAGTATTTTGCTAACACAGGGAAAAGCACGACTACCCAAGTACTTACAAACTTTTTGGGAGGCTTATGAATAGGTGCAAGGCTAAGAGTGCGTGGCCAAGAGGATTACTAACTGTAAACTGGCTTAGCATGTTTCTCAAGTGCATTGTATAGTAACTATATTCTTTTTTTTTATTAGTTAAACCCCTGCATAAACCCATTTATAGCATGCCTACAAATATTACACTGTCGAGTTATCAGAGTTCATAATGTAGAGCAAACACTTCATTTTAGAAAGCATTTATGGTATTATGTAGCGCATTCTTTTGTATTAGACCGTATGTTTGAAAATATGAAAACTACGTATAGTTTTGGAACTACATCTGTGAAAAAAAGCACACACTCAAGCACGTACACACATATTACAAGAATAAAGCAGCATGTTTTAGCCAACATTGTTGTAACCTTCTTTAGACATTCACATCATTTATTTGAAGTCCAGCAAGCGAAGCCTGCATTCATTCTGAATGATGCACTTGTGAAAAATGGGCAGGGGTAGGGGCCGGGGCAGCGGGTTGTAAGACATTAATAAAAATAAAAAAGTATAAAATTGAATAAATATCAGTACTTAGAAGGAAAGGTCAATTACAGGTCAGCTTGTACGCAGTTGTAGAACTATCTAAATGTCCATTTCAATCTGTACAAGACATAATTAGTAAATAGACCGCAGAGAGGAGAATAGACATCTTTAGGCATTAGATAAACATACAGTGTTTAGGGACTTTTAGTAGATATTGAGCTTCCAGCATGCACCTTAATCATAATCAACATTACACACCAGGAATATACTAATCATTAGACTAACTTGGCTTAGATCCATGGACTCAGAATGTAAAGGACAGGGCAGCCAAATACCCTATAACAAGCTTCTGTTTGATGCTATCGCCATGTGTTTTTATGAATGAAACAAATTGCTGTGGGCTGTCAAACTGCTATAAACTTAACAAAATGCAAGGATTCATGTGATCAATGCAAAGTTTACATGAATGGCTATGGAAGTATCATGATTGGCTAATATGTTTCAGCCAAGTGGTTTGTGTAGAGATTAATGTAGAAGCTGCAGATCTTGGAGATTTTTTTGTTTTGTTTTTGCATTTTAATGTATTTCTATACAGGTCGTTTAAGGTAATGTAAATCTGATCAGTGACGGGTTGAATAATATTGTTCTCACAGCAGCAGAATAAGATTGAGAAGTTTAGTCATTGTTTTTTATGTGTTTAACATGATAAGATAACAATATATTATTTAACCCCTTAGTGACTGTTTGTTCTCCAAGATCCCAAGAGTATGGGTTGTTCCACGATGGCCATTTTGAGTTGTTGTAGCTGGCCATTTTATCACCAATTTCGGACAAATTTAGTGATAATTTTTGTTTCATTCTAAAATTAAAATTTAATAGTGTAGTAACAATTGAACTGTCATCCAAAATGCTCCAATGCTGCAGCAGCACTAAAATTCAGTATGTTGTCCCACCATCCAAAATGGTTAGAAAGGGAGGGGGCTAAATTGGGTAAACATTCAATTAGGGAAATACTCTGGCTTCCTTTTAAAAGACCCAAGCAGGCTGAGATGTTCCCCACCACAAGTGATGAACTGAACCTCGTTTGTTTGGTTGTGCACTGTTCGCATGAATGTCAACGAGGTGGCGGCCATCCTTTTCACATAAACACAGGCAGCAGTGTTTGGTCGTCAAGTTCCTGGAGCTAAAATCGGACACGGAAACTCCTGTACACCGCTAGACTTCGCATGCGTTCAGTTCTACACAACTTAAAGAGCCACTGTCCAGTGGAATCGTTCATCTGGATGATGGGAACAAGCTCTAGGGTAAGACTATTGACTATGTTCGGTAGTTTGTTCAGTTTTTAAACTACCGAACTAGACTGACCACAACCCCTGATTCTCTGGAACTGCTTTGGGCAGGAGCCTCGTGTGGGGTTGGTCAAATTATGACTTTTATGGAAATCCATGTGTTTTGGGGGCACTTTCGGGGTGTTGTTGAAATGTATGTTTTTTGTGCCTGAAGATAATTGAGTTTAGTACAGTTCCTGACTCAATTATCTCACAGGCACAAGGGAGGGATTATCCTGTTTTGTGTGGTAGTATCCTGGACCTGAGAGCCCATGCAATTACATTGTGTACTTTGCCATAATCCCCTCTCAGGTCCAGTGGGGAATGCCCCTGGAATATGTCACGGTAAACCCCTTGCATGGGGACTTGCATATTAACCAGCCAGTTGACCTTAATAAATTAATTCCTGCTGTACCCTTCATATAGTTTAGGCTGATGTTTTTGTATATGTCTGATTGCTTGGAGAATTTACTTGGATACTGCATTTACTTCTGGAGAACGTTCGAATCAACACCCGAACTGCAAGCTATAATCAAGCTATAATCACTCAGCCTTTAGCAGTTCGGGAGGAACCGAAAGCAAACGGGTATCTGAAATACCAACGTTCTTAACACTAATCTAAAGGATATCAAAAAAGCTATGATTAAGGAGTTATCAGGCATAAGGCTGGATGTCTCTTTTGCGGCAATCGGCTGCATGGAGAGCTTGTTCTGTCAGCTGAAAAGCAGCATGCTAGATGACCAGGATGAGTTCCTCTTGGGGCTGCTGCTGCTGAAAGCTGGAAAAACATCCTCCACTATAATGAGGAAAGTGGAATCTCTTGCTCTGATCTTTACTGTCAAATGATTGCAGTGACATGACAGGGCCTTTGGCTGCCAGGAAAGCAGTTTTCAGGCTGGAGCAAGAGAAATAGTGAGGAGTGTCCTATGAAATTTGAAGAAGCTGATACGTCACTTTGACCTCACCCCCCTGAAGTACAGCATCTGTGAGATTAAACAGTGTGCGACTCCACAATTATGATTACATACACCAAGCATTGCAAAACTTTAATGGCTAAGAAGAATAGTGGGTGAAAATCGAAACTGAATGATAGGGACCGTCTAACACAACAAACATTGTGCCCAAACATCACAGAACTTCTGCAGTAAAAGTGACAGCAAAACTCAATATCCACCCCATTTCAACAAAAACAGTCTTCAGAAACCATCACAGAAAGCATTTACTGTTTTTTTGTTGCAATACATTTTACTAGACATGTGCAATTCGTTTCGGTCCGAACTAAAATTCGTCCGAATTTCGGGTAATTCGGACATTCGGTTGCATCCGAATGTCCGAATAGCTGAATTGCCAAAGTCCCGAAATTACAGAATTTCTGAAGTGTAGTAGTGTCGAAGTGCCGAATTGCTGAAGTGCCGACGTTCCGAAGTTGCCGAAGTTCTGAGGTGTCAAAGTACCGAAGTTCCGAAGCACAGTATTGCCAATGTACTAATATACTTACCCAGTGAAAGAAGAAGAATGTTACATTGTATACAATTTCAAATAAAAAGTATACAAACATAGCCAGGATTCAGCTGTAAGCATTTGCAACACTTACAACAATCAAGTAACATACATTCATATAAAATGTAAGTTACTTAGCCAGTCATGTAATGACAGGAATGAATAAGTAGATAACTCCCTAATTCCCACGGTATTAGGGAGCTATCTACTAAAAGGCTGAAAGACCTGAATTGG